TTCCGACAATCACTTCCCAGAAGGTCACCCATCCTGAAATTGCTCCAGCTCAAGCACGCTTAACTGTGGAGTTCTCTCAGGACAGTTGACCGAAAAGATAAGTGCACTTTGGTGACATAGGTGGCCAAATCAATTCTTTTAAGCCTCTCCGCAAGCACCACCATATTCCTGAAACCGGGGTGTTACAATTCACCCCCACTAACAGATGGCAACGTCCTCGTTGCGCACCAAGACCGTCATCCCCGACGGTGTGAGCCCTCTTGACTCCGCACTCGTCTGGGTTCGGCTCTGATACCACTTGTAACACCCCGACCGTCCCTACCAGTGGGTCCCACATCTTCTCTCGGGCCTATGGGCCCACCCTTGTCCGACGGCCGGTCCGCTACGTCCGGGAGGCTTTAAAGACTTGTTTACCGACCCTACTAATCACCACATGATCTTTCCCTGTGTTTTGTCCTCACTCACACAGTTCCGACAATCACTTCCTGGAAGGTCACCTATCCTGAAATTGCTCCAGCTTAATCACGCTTAACTGTGGAGTTCTCTCAGGACAGTTGACCGAAAAGATAAGTGCACTTTGGTGACATAGGTGGCCAAATCAATTCTTTTAAACCTCTCCGCATGCACCACCATATTCCTGAAACTGGGGTGTTACAATTTCATTTTTAACGCCCCGACCGTCCCTACCAGTGGGCCCCATGTCCTCTCTCGGACCCATGGGCCCACCCCTGTCCGACGGTCGGTCCGCTACGTCCGGGAGACTTTAAAGACTTGTTTACTGACCCTACAAATCAGCACATGATCTTTCCCTGTGTTTTGTCCTCACTCACACAGTTCCGACAATCACTTCTCGGAAGGTCACCCATCCTGAAAGTACTCCAGCCCAAGCACGCTTAACTGTAGAGTTCTCTCAAGACAGTTGACCGAAAAGATAAGTGCACTTTGGTGACATAGGTGGCCAAATCAATTCTTTTAAACCTCTCCGCATGCACCACCATATTCCTGAAACCGGGGTGTTACATCTTGTGTGTTGTAGGCTTTCTGTTAGGATCATAGGATGCTCCTCTTCTTGAGCAACATTTGCAGCATTTGTAGATTTCTTTTGAGGACAATCCACTTTAAAGTGACCTTCCTTCCCGCATACCCAGCACTCTCTTGCCTTAGGCTGATTCCTCTATCTTGACTTTGATTTCGTATCATTACTCTTTGACCTGTTGCCTCCCTGATCATTGTCCATGTTCTCAGATCTTCCTCTGCTCACAAACAGTCCTTCTGAGTTTGCTTTTGACTTCATCTTCTGGTTTAGCTCAATTTCCTTTGAGTAAGCACCATTTGTTACATCATCAATGGTTAGGGATTGTGTTTTTCCGGCTCCATACCTAAGAGTGTCTCTTAGAGATTCATATGGCTCTGGCAGAGCTGACAGGATCTGAATAGCCTGATCTTCATTGGAGATATTGATGCTTAAGCTGGCAAAGTCATCTACCAGTTTAAGGAATATATCCAAGTTTTCTTCAATGCTTTTGTTTTCTTCAAATTTGAAACATGAGAACCTCTGTTTCAAGTAGATGCGGTTAGGCAGGGATTTTGATTGATAATCTCTTTCTAAGGCCCTCCAAACTCCTAGTGCTGTGAGTTCATTCATGACCTTGCGCAATGGCTTATCTCCTAAGCTCATGCAGATTATGGTCCTTGCTCTCTTGTCTTTATCTGGATCAAACTTAGCCCTCTCTGTTTCTGTCTTCACTTCTGTTGTTGCCTTCCCACCATCTTCAGGGGCTGTAGAAGTACTAGTCTGTTGTAAAGTAGAGACGGCTTCTGGTTCCTTTAGAGTGTGCTCTAAACCCGGTAGTTCCAGCTAACATTTAACCTTGAACTTCCATAACCCAAAGTCTCCTTTACCGTCAAACTTTGGTATGTCAAATGACTTTTGCTCGTTTGAGCCCATGTTGATATAGTTTCAGGGAGAAACTATATACTCCTTCTTCTTAACTTATTTCCTTTAGCGTGAACATCCGCAGAACCTGATTCTTGATCGCCTTCTGCTTAGCCTAGATGCTCTGATACCACTTGTGAGGTTTTGAACCGATTAGCCTTTAAGAATGCGGAAACAAAAGAACTAATCAACACCACGAATTAACGAGTTTCTCTCCGAACCGGAGAGTACGTCTCGTGCAAGGACTATCCCTTGCAAACATCCACTAAAGAAATCCAAATTACAAGTTTCACAATCCTCTCTTATCTCTCAATCTAATACTCTCTACGTTTCTCTTTTATAGGTACCTTAAGAAGAAATGTGACAACTTGCAGCTTATTCACCTATGCTACGAGAGATAAAGAGAAGAACAACAAGAAACCTACCTAGAAGACCTTAAGCTCTCAAAGACAAAACTTCTCTCAAGCTCTCTTTCCCGAAAACTCTCTCTTGCTTTGTCTCTCTTTACTTTTTCTTGTTGGTGATAATGAATAGTGAACTCTAGCCTCTCTTTATATAGGCCTTGTAAACCGCCTAACTCCAAGTCAGATTTGGACTCCTAATCCTCTTTGGAATTGACTTACTTGTTTGCCAAGTAAGAGAAACCTCCTCAAAACATCTTCATGGGCTTCTTCCTTTTGGATCTTCCTTATGGCCCAGCTTTCGCCCAGCTTGGTTTGCAACAACCCGGTTCATGATCTTAACCGGTTCCCTGACCAGATGACAACTTATCCACAACTACGAGAATCAAACTGTAACCATAAGAATCAAACTGTCAGCAAGTGTTGAGGTCACTGTCACGCTACAATAGTCCAATTTTACTTATTTATTGACATATCCTAGAAATAAACCAACCATTCAAGAGTTATAAGGTGGATTCTATAACTGTAGGATGTGATAATACCCGGAAATACTAGGAAGTCGACAAAGTATTTAAAACACCATACCGGAAATAGAAGTATACCGGTTTTTAACTTCACAAACGTACACCTTTAACATTTTGAGTACAAAAAATTAAAATTAAATACATATTTTTCGTCTCTATATTGAGTTAGCCATGTCCACTTTTCAAAAGGAAGAGAGATTTTTATGTACATTTTGTGACAAATTAGACATATTTGATTCATAAGGTTTCAAACTCCAATGTTTGTCCAACTTTCACTTTAAAACTAAGTGAAGCAGCAGTTCATTTGATAATTTTGATTCAGTTGGTTTTAAACCCCGATATCTAATCAGCTTTCATTTTAGAATTGGCTCTAGTACTACGTTTAATTTTTCCCGAGTTTACTTACCTTTCTTCGGTCTAGAAATGAAAACGGTAAAAACATTTGCTGATAAAATTAGCAGCAGTTCTACATTTTATTTTTCAGGAATTTACTTAATTTTTTTAGACCTAATTTTTGGTTTATTAATATTTTTTGTTGGTTTAGAGATATAATTAATATATCCGTCTAACATTGTGTGTAAACGATTTGTCAACAATTGATGCACACATATATTTAACATTCTGCTTGAAATTTTTATGTAGAGCTCACTGTCACTATACACATATAGTAATTTACTATTTTACTTCTATATAAACGAACGAATTCGATCGATGTAATACATAATTCACAATTTCAATTACAAGAAAAGTAATAAAAAAATTCCTCACTCGTTTTATTTTATTACTCAGTATCCCAATTTTTTTTGCATGTATAATTTTTTTTCTATTATTTATATTTATATCCACTATAAAATAAAATATTGTATTTATAACAAACGCTTATTTATAACACGAGCAATAACCATCCATCTACAAGAACTCAATGACAAAGCTCTAGTACAAGATATTTTGGTAAGAGTTTTTCTTAAGGCTTATCTTCTCATTAGCTTTGTTCTTGAGAATATATATATATCGCACGAGTCAAACCTATGAAGCTAGTCCAGCAATCTGAACAAGGCACAAGTTGTGCAATTGTGGCTAAGCAAATCAGATTCTAGAGTGTTTTATATGGCTTTTTGATCGTCCACAAACAAGTCCCACTTCCAATAGCTTGATGGAATTACGTTCTTGGGATGTTTTTGTTTAACTTTGTGTGTGTGATGCAAACGGAGAGCCGGCAAGTCGGAGGAATGAGCAGATTGGGAGATTTGTAGCGGAGCGGTGGTTCGGTGGTGAAGATTCGGAAACGGAAACCGGATGCTTTCGTCGAAGTCTCAGATCCATTCAAGCCGCTGCGATGCCGTGGATTTTGTATCCGCCGGTGTTACTGCTCTGGTTTCTCTGCCGTCGATGTGTCACCAGGCTCCGTTCCATTTTTTCCGGTGATGGCTGCGTTTCTTGATTTCTTGTTTTTGCAACTGTTTTCTAATTTGTAAAGCCCAAGACCCATTTCGGGAAGGCCCATTATAGGGAAAGCGCTTTATAAATAAAAATATTTATTTAAAAAAAAAAAAAAAAAAAAACTTTGTGTGTGTTAAATTGGAATTGTTGGAGTTTCTTCCCTATTTGACCAAGTCAAGAATATTTGTATCTCATCTCACATACCACACTTACATGACCAAAAATTTTAATCTGTTTTTAAATCGATAATCCGAACCACTAATTTTGTTAAGACATTTAACAGTATTAAACTCATTTATATAGAATGAATGACAACTAAAAGATTTTATTTTAGTCATGTGCATACTTTTCCAGTTTTAGTCCGTTTCTCTTAGAAAATTTTCACTGTAATTTCTTTCGCCATGTTCCAAATCCATTTTTGCCTTCTAACATATTTATATATTTGGGAAAAAACCCGAAAAAACCGCCATCTATTTTTTATTTGGCCGTTTAATACTTGTACTTTTAAAATTGGAATAAAAATTCCTTCTTTATTTTTTGTTGTATTTTAAAACCATGGTGTTTTAAAACTTGGTAATTTGGTACCTGCGAGTTAACAGTCGTTAACTTTGCTAACGGAATGGTTAACTGGGGTTAAATCTTAACCTCACGTGGTTAAATTCTCTTTACTAAAGACATTGTTGCCCTTATACATTCTCCCCCAAATCGATTTGGGATCATAGAACCCTAATTTCCATTTCTCTATCTTCTCTTCTTTTTACAAGGATGATGAGCCAAAGTTCAAGCTCTGATGCAAATTCAATTAGCCGTAGATGGGGTCCTCTTTGCAATTGTGGTAGGGCAACGTCGGTTACGAAAGCATGGACAAATGAAAATCCGGGTAGAAGATTCTTCAGATGTGGTGTTCATGGTTTCATCAATTGGGCAGATGAAGAGAAGCCATTTGGTTGGCAGAAAGTGAGCTTGTTGGAGGCGCGAGATGAAATTCGTCAGCTAAAAGAGTCTCTAAAGGCAATGAAGGAACAAATGGTGGGTTTGCCAGTGTCTGCTTCTAACGATCATTTGAAGAAGCACGAAGAAGAGAAGAAGAAGCTTGAAGAGGAGAAGAAGAAGTTTGAGGCAGAGAACAAGAAGCTTGAAGAGGAGAACAAGAAGTTTGAGGCAGAGAAGAAGAAGCTTGAAGAAGAGAAGAAGAAGCATGATGAAGAGAAGAAGAAGCTTGAAAATGAAGTTATATGTGCTAATGAGAGGGAAAAAATGCTTAGGCAGTTGATTGTGTTGTCTTGGGGATGTTTCATTGTTGTAATTGCAATGTGCCTTGGAATGGGAAAGAAGTAGGTTGTGTAAGGGTTTAGGGTTGTCATTGTTGTTGCTAGTTTGTTGTGTTGCTGTTGTAAAACTCTGATCACCAAATTGTTGTTGCTTGTTTGTTGTGTTGTGTAAGGGAAATATGTTGTCATTGTTGTTGCTAGTTATCATTGATCCAAAAGAGCCGTTTAGTTTGAAAAGTTAAAGATCCCACCAAAACAAATCAGGATCCTACCAAACACATCATCCTACATAGATATCATCCTACAAAGTCAATAAGGACACAAAAGAGAACATAAATCTATCCTATTTCTTCTCAGGTCTCCAAACATCAAAGACCTTATCAGTCCAAGGAGACATGAAAAAGACAGGAGGTCTTGGAGCTTCATCGGATCCTTTACCACGACCCTTGCCTTTACCCTTGCCTTGACCATTTTTAACTCCAGGAGGACGTCCACGAGCACGACCTCTACCACTTGGATTAGCTGCTGGAGCACTTGAATGCTGCGGATTTTGTGTGGGTTGACTCTGAGAAACTAGTGGGGTGGATTGGCTTTGAGCAACAGGTGGGGTGGATTGGCTTTGAGCATTCTTCTACCTCTTTGGTGCATTGTTGAGGCTCCAAGGATCATCATCCTCCTACAACAATTTTGATTACTCATTGCTAAAAGGGAAATGAAAAAAAAAAATACCAAGTCAGAATACTTACCACAGACTTCCTTGGTCTTCCTCTTTTGCGTGGAGGAGCAGATTGCACAGCTTGGTTTTTGCAAGTTCCCTTATTGTGACCTATTTGCTTACAGTTGCTACAAGTCACAGTTTTTCCTTCTCTTGTTAGTTTGGTTGGATTAGTTGACGATTCACTTGGCTCCTTTATCCTATCAAACTTCTTAGGCCGCCCCCGCTTCTTCCTCTTATCTGGCACCTCAATTACCCCTTTCCCAGTTCTCTTCCATAGTCTTTCTCCATTGACAGGTTCTATGTTGTCCTTGTAGGTAGCTTTCAAGACTTTTGTTTCTAAATGTCTGTCAACATAACTACATGGAAAAGAAAAAAGTATATCAATCCAAAGAGTTAAATGACAATCTTTTAGTCAAACAAGGGGATTAGTTAGAGACTTACTCTTCTGGATCGCGGTTGTGCTCTCCAATAACAAATATTGCATGTGGACAAGGTATGCCTGTGAGGTTTCACTGATTACAAGCACACTCTCTGGTCAAGAGATTCACCCCATAGCTATTACACCCTGCTTCAACATCCTAGCTTTACCACTGATAGCATGTGCATGAGCATCAACATATGTTTTGACTACCCACTTCTTTACTCCTTTATCCACAGAACAATAAATCTTCCATTTGCATTTCTCATGGCTGCATATAGCCGCCAGCTGTGTTTGACCCCATTTGCACAACTTCACATCATAGTTTGTCTTCAAGACATACCTCAACAGCTGATCCTTGAACTCCTCTCCACTGTTGAACTGTTGCTTCATCCACAGGTAAGGTGGCTTAGAGCATGTATATGGGTGATACCCATATAGTATCATTTGGAATTTTTTAGTATTATTTATAATATTTGTTTATTGTTTAAGATTTTTTATGATACTCCTACTAAATATGTTTGCATTGGTGAGACCGGTTTAAGTATCATAAAAAAAAAAAAAAAATTGCAAAATAAAAAATTAATATATTAAAACATAAGATTACAAAAGGTAATATTACAATAAAAAAAAACGTAGAATATACTTAAGCTAAATAAAACATAAAATTTCAAAAAAATTGAAAAAAACATGATGATAAAAATAATTTAGTCGCTTGTAGTCAATTACCTTGGCCCCATTTTTGCCAAATATGTTCAATCAAATCTTCTTTCAATTGTCGATGTGTTTGTTCATGACGTATTTGAGCTCGATTGGCCATCAAATTGTTCACAATTGTCGATGTGGTTGTTCATGACGTATCTAAGGATTTTGCCGAGAACAAGGCACAATACGCAAAGGATTTCTCTTATGTCAAGGCTTATGACAAGGCTTTGTGTTTAGGGAAGTTCACAATTAAAAGAGATTTGTGACTTGAGAAGGAAAACAAATAAAAGAGACTTGTTTTTAGAAAAGGAAGCAAAGACTTGTTTTTAGAGAAAGAAACAAAGACTTGTTTTAGAAGAATTGTATTGAGAAATATGAGAGAGGAAGATTGGTTTTGGAGAAGAATTGTATTGAGAAGAAAAGAGAGAGGAAGAAACGTTTTGAGAAGAATTGTTTTGAGAAATATGAGAACACAACAACTTATATATATAATACATTGAGAAATATGAGAACCCAATATTACACATACACTAAAAACAAGTAGCTTCTGTCAAGTCATCCTCCAGCAAACTTTGTGGAAGTGTAAAGCCTTTGAGTTCATCCACCTCTTTAAGGACCTCAATGTGCATTACAGAATTCGATTTCAATACTTCTGCACCGCTTCTGACCATCTTCAAGTCTTGTTCACCAACTGATACCGAGAGAGAATCACCTCTGCTTGTGTTCTGCGGTTTTGTTGAATTAGATTAGATGGAAGCAATTAAACTCCAGCTTGGAGGAAAGAAACACACTTACATATTGTGATTGTTGCAGATTATAAATCTGGCTTGTTCCTGCACTTTCATATGGATTACTAACTCTAGCTCTCATTTCTCCGAGGATATATATATACTACAAGAAAACCTGCGTTTTGCAACTAACTTTTGCGACTAAATATATGGTCGCAAATCTCTGCGACTATTTACCGACGTTATTGCGACTATTTACTGACGAAAACAAATATGGACGTAAATTAGTCGCAACTCAGCGACTAAACAAAACAGTCGGTAATTAGTCGTCCAGTAGCGACGTGTTTGCGACCGATGACAGACTAAAATGTTTTGGTCACAATTCAGTCGCAAACTTGCAACCGATGTGCGACTAATTATTTGGTCAAAAGTAGTAGTCGCAATTGAGTCTCAAAAGAGCGACGATGTAACGACCACTTATTATAGTTACGCGTTAGTTGCAAATTAGTTGGAAAAAGCAGGTAGAAAACACGTTGAAAATGCAGAAGAGGTAGGTGTACCGATTTTTTGTGACTACGTGAAAATGGTTGCAAAATAGTCACAAATTTAAGCCTATATATACCACCCCTCACTCATTTCATTTCTCCATCCCACTCTTCCATCCTCCCATTTAGAAGTCCAAAAAAAAAACGAAAGAGAAAGAAGAAGAAGAAAAAAAAAAAGAGAGGAAAAAGAAGAAAAAAAAGAGAGAAACAAAAAAAGAAACGATGTGGAATAATCCTTCACGAGAATGGATGTACAACCGAATCGATCCATTCACAAATCACATTGCGGCAGACTATTTGGCGGGTGTGGAAGCGTTCATCAGTTATGCAAGCCATGTTGAAGACAGAAAAGGTCGGTTTTTATGTCCTTGTGTAGTATGTCAAAATTCGAAATCTGTGAAAGCTGTTACGGTATCAAGTCATTTGCTTAGTAGAGGATTTATGCCGAATTACTATGTATGGTATGAGCATGGAGAAGATTATAATGTTGTTGGGGAGGGTACTAGTAACTATGCTGATAATACCGATTATACTAGTAATGTCAATGAACCAATAGGCTTTCATGGGGAAAATATATTTGCTGGAATGGTTAATGATGCATTTCACGGTTCTGTACCGTATAACGAGTATCATGAACATGAAAGTGGAAACGATCATGTTCATGAAGAACCCACCCAAGAAGCAAAACGATTTTACGACATGCTAGCTGCCGCAAACACTCCACTTTACGATGGATGTCGGGAAGGTCAATCGCAGTTGTCGTTGGCAGCTCGGTTCATGAACAATAAGGTGGACTACAATTTATCAGAAAGTTGCATGGACGGATGGGCAGAATTGTTTACAGAATATTTACCAGAGGGTAACCAGGCGACCGGTTCCTACTACGAGACAGAGACTTTGATGCGAAAGCTAGGATTACCGTACCATACATATGATGTATGTATAGATAATTGTATGTTGTTTTGGAAAGAAGATGCGAAGTTGGGGAATTGCAAGTTCTGCGGAAAACCAAGATATAAGGAGAGTGAAGGAAGAACAAGAATACCATTCAGTAAGATGTGGTATTTACCGATTGGGGACATATTGAAGAGAATGTACCAATCTGAGAAGACTGCAGCTTCGATGAGATGGCATGCTGAGCACGAATCAGAAGAAGGATTAATGTGTCATCCATCAGATGCGGCTGAGTGGAAGAATTTCCAGCAATTGCATCCTTCTTTTCCCGAAGAACCGCGAAACGTTTATCTTGGATTATGTACAGACGGGTTCAATCCATTTGGGATGTCCAAAAATCATTCGTTGTGGCCAGTGATCTTGACGCCATACAACTTGCCTCCTGATATGTGCATGAAAAGTGAGTATTTGTTTTTGACGATTTTGAATTCGGGACCAAATCATCCACGAGCCAGTCTTGATGTTTTCCTTCAACCATTAATCGACGAGTTACAAGAGTTGTGGCATAATGGAGTTGAGGCATATGATGTGTCCTTAGATCAAAACTTCAACCTCAAAGCGGTTCTTTTGTGGACTATTAGCGATTTCCCAGCATATGGCATGTTGTCGGGATGGACTACTCATGGTCGATTATCGTGTCCAATTTGTATGGAGGATACAAATGCATTTTGGTTGCCAGGTGGTAGGAAGACTTGTTGGTTTGATTGCCACAGAAGATTTCTTCCTGTAAATCATTCGTTACGGAAGGATAAAACCCACTTTCTAAAGGGTAAGGGAGTGAAGGAATACCCACCGCAATCTTTGACTGGTGAACAGGTATTATATGAGCGTATAAGGACTGCTGAGCCGCCTATGACATCTGATTGCGGAGGAAATGGGCATGAAAAGAAAGTAGATGGCTATGGACAATGGCATAATTGGCACAAAGAAAGCATTCTTTGGCAACTTCCATACTGGGTCGATCTAAACCTACGCCACAATCTTGATGTGATGCATATTGAGAAAAATGTTCTCGACAACATCATATACACTGTAATGAATGTCAAAGACAAATCAAAAGATACTGTGAGGTCAAGAATAGATATATCAAGATTTTGTGACCGGCCAGAATTGCATGTTGATGATCAAGGGAAAGCACCATTTCCTATTTGGAGATTAAGTGCAAAAGCCAAAAAAAGCCTCCTAGAATGGGTCAAATCAGAGGTCAAATTTCCAGATGGCTATGTTGCGGATTTAGCTAGTTGTGCAGATATCAATGCCGGCAAGTTTTCGGGAATGAAAAGTCACGACAACCATGTTTTCATGGAACGATTGCTACCGTTCGTGTTTGCAGAACTCCTACCGCGTAATGTGCATCTTGCATTATCCGGTAAATTTTGTCAAATAATATAGTTAAATAATATAGTTAAATAATTATTAACTTTTGTTTTTATATTGTAGGGCTTGGAGCATTTTTCCGTGACTTAAGTACTCGATCATTGGAGCTAAGCCGCGTCCAAAATTTGAAGGAGAATATTGTCATGATCCTGTGCAATTTGGAAAAGATCTTCCCACCTTCTTTTTTTGATGTGATGGAGCACCTACCTGTACACCTACCAGATGAAGCAGAGCTTGGCGGTCCAGTTCAATATAGGTGGATGTACCCTTTTGAACGGTTTTTTAAACGTTTGAAAGGCAAGGCGAAGAACAAAAGATATCCAGCGGGTTCAATCGTTCAATCGTACATGAATGATGAGATATCTTACTTCTCAGAACACTACTTTGCTTCGCACATTTCGACCGCTATTAGAAGAAGGTATATATTTCATACATATACTATACTTATAATTTGTTTTTAATTATACTCATACATACATTTTTTTAGGTCAAGCCGGTATGATGCAGGTGATGTTCCAGTATATCCTATACCGGTTCCGGATATATTCACTCAAGTTGGTCGTCCGAGTGGCAAAAGCAGTGAATTTTGGTTAACCGAGATAGATTATAAATGTGCTCATGCATATGTGTTGCGTAATTGTGACTACTTTCGTCCGCTTAAGAGGTATAGCTATATTGGTTTAGTAGTTTTGAATTAATTAGTTTTGAATTAACTAAATTAATAATTAACATGTTTCTAAAACAGTGTGTTGGAAGCACAAATCCGGTATGATTCTCCAGAACTTTCTGACGATGAGGTCTTATTGAAAAGAGATGAAGATTTTCCTATGTGGATTCGCCAATATGTAAGTATACATATAATATCATATATCTCCGATTATACAAATTCAATATCATTTTTCTGAATATGTTTAATAAACTTTTATATATATATATAGGTGCTTGCTATGAAAAGTCAAGAAACTTTTCCTCCATGGGTTCATGATATAGTTGAAGGTCCAGAAAACAAAGTCACGTCATGGCCCATGTATTTTACAAGAGGGTATATGTTTCACACGAAAACTCACGGTCGCACCAAAAAAACAATGAATTATGGGGTATGTGTACGAGGACAAAATTATTCTGATGTGGCTGAGGAAGATGATTTTTTTGGGACCGTGGAAAATATAATTGAGCTCCAGTATCCAGGATTTGTTAACTTAAAGATCACACTTTTCTACTGTGAATGGTATGACCCAACGGTTGGCAAAGGAGTTCGTATTGGAAATGGAGGTATTTTAGACGTGCAACCATCTCAGAAATACCGAAAATATGAACCATTTATTTTAGGTAATTGTATTTGCTTATACGTGTTTCTATATAATTAATTTATTTAATATATATATATATATATATATATATATATATATATATATATATATATAATCATGTATTTTTATAATTAATTCAGGGTCTCAAGCTGATCAAGTGTGCTATCTTTCATATCCGTACACAAAAAGACCTCGCAAATCGTGGCTAACAGTTTGCAAAGTGAATCCCCGGAATGTCATCCAAGGGAAGTTTAGCGATACAGACTTGGTTATATTGCAACAAACAGTTGATGATGCAACTCCTACCATAGTTGAAGAAGTCATCGTCGACACCTTAGTAGACGGAAATCATCAGGATGAACATATCGATTTTGATATCGAAGATGCTGAACCAGAAGACGAATTTCTTTGTAACTTGTCCACATCAGAAGATGAAGATGAAGAATTTGAAGATGAATGAAGTTTAAAGATGTGTTTTGTAAGATATTGTAACATGTATATAATTTAAATAGATAACAGTCGCAAAAGTGCCACCATTTTGTAACCATTGTTCATTTAGCGACTACTTTGCGACGAATATTGCAACTATTGACCGACCAATATTGCGACCATTTTGGTACTAATTGTGAAATTTCTAAGATTTTTGCTAAGTGTTTGGTTGAACTTAGTAATAAGATTCATGCACACCAAGTGTTCGTTAAAATGTCCTAACCAATGACATCTACAGATCCATTTTAAAACCAAATTCAATTGATGAAAATACTACAAGATAACATTACACAAACTAGAATTCTTATGCAAATACTCAACATTTTAAAACCAAATCCAAAATCCCCAATTCGATTTTATGTCGAAGGGTTGAAGAAGAAGAAGACTAAATGAGATGACTAAACGACGTCGTTTTCCCATTTGTCTTTCCTTTAAAATACGTCGCAAATCAGTCGCAAATTTGCGACCGTTTTGCGACAAACGTATATTGAAACGTTTATTCTCCACCAATTTTCTCTTAGTCGCTAACTAGTCGGTCATTTGCGACTAGCACCTGAAGATTTTGCGACTGTTTTGCGACTAGCACCTGAGTTTGCGACCCATATGCGACTATTTGCCAACTCTCGATTTTTGTTTTCTCACTTTTCACATTTTAAATTTGCTTACATATAAAGTTAAACATTTCTACACTTATTTGATATTACTCATCAAGAAAATCTTAACCAAAGTCATAAATACTGATGTTTAGAAACAAAATATCAAAAACAAACAAATCTCTTTATGATATTACATTACTCATATGAGTAATGTTTAGGGATTTAGTAAAAACTCTACATCACTTGAGTTTTGCAAAGTTTTGTAACCTTAAACAAATATATGTCCTCTATAACCCTAATATGAGTGTTATAGAGTGATATATGTCACCATTTTGGATCGAAATGTGTAGATTTCAAAATTTTGCCTTGTGACTAATAGATCACAGTCACACAACCGTCGCAAATTTGCCACAATTTTGGAACGATTTGCCTGTTTGCGACTATTTTGCGACAATTGTTGCAACTATTTACCGACCATAGTTGCGACTATTTTGGTACTAAATGTGAAATTACTTGAGTTTTGCAAAGTTTTGTAACCTTAAACTAATATATGTCCTCTATAACCCTAATATGAGTGTTATAGAGTGACATATATAACCATTTTGGATTGAAATGTGTATACCTCTCCTTTTGCGTTGTGACTATAGATTACAGTCACAATCTGGTCGCAAAGTTGCCACTATGTTGGAACTGTTTACCATTAAGCGACTATATTGTGACTATGTTTGCAACTATTTGCCGACCATTATTGCGACTATTTAGGTACTAAATGTGAAATTTCTAAGATTTTCGCTAAGTGTTTTGGCGGTTTAGATTCCCCCCAATTTTTTTACTTTGGTACCATTTTGCGACTAAAGAGCGACTGGTACTCTTAATTAATTAGGTAAAACTTAAACGAACCCTCATTTCCACCAAAATCCCCAAATCGATTTAGGGTTTCTCTCTCAATCTCTCAATCGTCCCCTCTCTCTCTCAATCGATTCTCACACAAATCTCTCTCAGTTTTTCCCGATTCTCTCTCAAATCTCTTCCAATCCTCTCGAATCCTCTCTAAAAGCTCTCGAATCTCAACATCTCAAATCTCAAATCTTCTTATGCCGCCTAAAGGTAAATCCTCTCGAGGTCGCGGAGGTGGCGCTACCACCAGAAGAGTGGCCGCCGGAGGTGGCCAAACCAGCAGACAAGAAGCCGCCGGAGGTGGCCAAACCAGCAGACAAGAAGCCGCCAGAGGTGGCACAACCACCAGACGAGTAGCCGCCGGAGGTGGCCAGGCGCTACCACAAGAAGCTGTAGGAGGAGGCGAGACCAGCAGACCAGTAGCCTCTCGAGGTCGAGTCCGAACCTTCGTTGGTCACAGACCACCAGTCACTGCGAGTGGAGTCGGAACATCTTCAAACGCGTCGAACCCATCCTCGGCAAGTCAGTCTGCGACCCAATCTCAAGTGAGTCGTCCTTCACTTAATTCTAGTAGACAGAATCCTCCTCCTAGGCAGACTCCTCCTCTCAATAGACAGACTCCTCCTCCTCAGCCGCAGCATCAGCCACCGTCTCCTCAAACCCAGCCTCTACCGGAACATGATGCGAATCACCAAGTGCTACCTGAAAACGAAGACCTTGAAGAGGAAGAGATCGATGATGTAGGACAAGAAGATGACGAAGAAAACCCTAATCCTGGGGAAGACTACCAAGATATGCTGGATCGTTTGCTAGCTCTTCCAGGCCGAGAACATCTTCCTCGATTGTCTGTACACCCAATCCCAAACGTTGAAACATTCTGGTATTAACACTTTTGTCCCTCTGTTTGTTTTGTTTGATGTGTGATGTTTGGTATTGCTAAAAGTTTTGGTCTGACATTTATCATTTGACTAGGGTTTGATCTATCATTTGCTAAAAGTTTCAAAAAAATACATGTTATTGCTTTGGTCTGACATTTGCATATTATTGGTCTGACATTTGCATATATTAGCTTGCATATCATTGTTTGTTGTTGTAATCGTTGTTGTAATCTTTGCTATAACATCCTGAACATTCATGCTCATTCTCTGTTTGTTGTTTGCTCTATATAAAATCTGCTTTATATAGACTAATAGCCTCTTGTTGTAACAGGTTTAACCGGCAAAAGGGGGTGCTGTCTCGAGCAATTTCTAGAATATTTAGGAGGAAGTTTGATGGGCCTTACTACATCTGGAAGGTTACTCCAATCAACATACAAGAGAGATATTTCAGAACTTTTGCGGTAATGAATATATATAACTTTCATTCTCTCTTATTGTAGTATATATAGTATGTTACTAACTTACTATTTTGTGTTATGTAGCGGGAGTTTAATTGGGATACTGGGATTACTGGCCTTGTTAAACAAGGATTCTTGGTTATAGCGCAGAAACGGATGAAAGGCATTGTCAGTCAAGTGAGAACGAAAGGTGTACAACCAACTTGGATTAGATTTACACTTTGGACTGAGATGCAGAACTTTTGGAAGACCGCTGATGCTATAGAGAGGAGTGAGAATGCTTCACAATGCAGAAATTCTGATCGTGGCGGACTTGGAGTGCACAAACACTTAGCCGGTCAGAAATCATTTATTCAAGTTCATCAAGAGATGGTAAGTTGTTTCAATCGCTCCAAATACTTTACTTTTACATAATTTCTATAATTTCTACACATGATATTCTTTTTGACTTTTATTTCAGGAGGAAGAGTTGGGGCGTCCAGTTTCATTAGGTGAAGTGTTTATGAGAACGCATACTAGAGCTGATGGCTCTTTTGTTGATCAAAAGTCTGAACAAGTGGCTGAGGCATATAAGAAGACAGTTGAAGAGAGATTGGCTGAACTGGAAGAGGATGTTCAGGATGCTTCAGAGATTTCCTCTGAACATTCAATGCATCCTAGAGAACTCAGCATTGATGAAATGAATGATATCTTCCTTAAGGTAATTCATTTCTGTCTTTAGTTTGCTTGGATTATATGATTGTATTTTTTTGCTTGGAGTATGATAGTCTTGTCTGCTGAGCATTGTTACTTTAATATCAATGATGATTCTTATTTGTCTTTGTCTGATTTGCTTTGTGGATTGTCTTTGTCAGACTTCTTTGCTACATTCTGGATCCTTCTTGTCTGATTTCACTGAATGTTTGTCTTTTTTTGAAGTGTACTCATACAGATGACCAAGGCAACCCTTATGGCCTTGGATCACTGGTGGAGACCCTACACAAGGGAAAAAGGAAGGAGAGTTATGCAAGCTCTTCTTCTACAGTGACAGTTGTTGAGCTTCAAGAGCAGCTGCGGCGCAAGATCTCTAATCAGGATACTGAGAATGCAAGACGTGATGAGGAGCACCGGAAGTCTCAAGCTCGGATCGCAAGCTTGGAGAAGCTCATCCTTTTCATGAAAGACAAAGATCCAGACTTGGCAGCTTTTATGTCAACCTCTCCACTCCTTGAACCAGAAGTGCTCATACCACCCACCACTACAACAACCACCCTTCCAGCCACCACAGGAGCTGCAGTCCAACCAGCAGGACACACCACTGGAACCACACCAACCTCTCCTCTATCCACCGCCTCAAATCAGTAAACTTGATTTTAGTTTCCTTTTCTCTGTGTATGTGAACTTATTTATGTTATGCTTTGATTATGATTGTTTTTGAATGGTTTGGAATGGTACTTGATTAATATTCGGATGGTTTTTGAATGCATTTGCTTTTGAAATGGACAGGTTTCGGACTAATAAGATGTAACTATTTTGTGACCAAAAAGTTTCAGAAATTCGGACTAATTTGTGACCAGAACAATTAACAAATGTGACCAAACTGTGACTAAACAAATTTACAAATAACTCCAAATCTCGTATCAAAATGGTTACTAATTTAGGACTATTTTGTCACCATAATTAATGAGTCCTAAAATAGTCGCACCATATGCAACTCTTTTGCGACTACACTGTTACTAAAACATACACATTTTGCGACTAAAGTGCGACTAAGTATTTGATCCAAGAACTCTAAACGGTCGCAAACAAGGCGCAAATTGATCCAAATATGTAAGGTTATCACAGTCGCAGATGAGTCGCTAACGTCTGTTCGTTGCTCTTTGGTCACACATTTGCAACGATATTCACCAGTCACAGCTTAGTCGGTAATTTGCGACGATAAATTTATAGTCGCCAAATGGTCGCAAATTAGCGACTATAGTGATACACGGAAATTTTGCGACCGTTTTTTTGCGACCAATGAAAATAGTCGTTATTCAGTTGCAAAACCCTCTTTTGCGACCGTTTAGCGACTAATGTCACAGTCGCAAATGAAGTGTTTTCTTGTAGTTACTATACTGTACATGAGTCAAGGCCTTCTGTACATGACTATACTCTCCCTTAATCTGAAAACAATCAGCGAATCAAAAGGACCACATCTCGGTTAATTCTGCAATGTTCTCATTTCCAAGGGAAAAAAGCTTACATTGATTACAAGAAATCACTCACTTACCTCAATCACCACTTCATTTTCTGAGATCCACTCTAAAATCTGGCTGCCTACTGGAATGTGTACATCAGCACCAGTTGCTATGATTGCTTCTCTGTTTCCATTTCCAATCAAGCATTTTGTGCATGAGAGTATCTCAACAGATCTTGCAAAGACAAATGGCTGTTTTCTAAAACGTATTAGAATACTAACAAACATCATCATCATCATCATCATCCTCTATCTATATAATCCATCATTACACAACATAACCAGAGAGAGACAATTAACAAAACAGGAAGAAGCTTCTTACAGTGCTTCCCCAACGATCTTTAGGATCAACCTCAGCTTTGCGATCAAGAAGAAGCTCAAAGGCTTATTAGTGGCCTTAACAGCAGGAGGAGCGGAGGAGAGGAGAGAAGCACAAATCAAAGCTCGTTAGGATCGGCGGAGGAGAGGAGAAATCGAAAATCGCCGGAGGAATAGAATCGAAGAGATGAAGCCGGAGAAGAAACGGAGAGGTGAAATAGATCGAAGAGGTGACGCCGGCGAAGAAACGGAGGGAGCGGAGGCAGGAGATCGGCGGAGGAGAAGAAATCGATTTCTCCATCGCGTTTCTAGGATTTTCTCGGGAGAGAAAAGAGAAGAATGAGATTTTTTTTTTCGGTTTTTAGAAGAAAAAAAACGCGTTTCAGGGACCAATAAGAAGCCGCCACGTCACCCGATACTGGGTATCAAAAGTATCACTCCAGTGATACGGATCAGGCCCAAATGTAGTGTCTGATCCATTAAAAAATTATATTTGGGCTCTTGATACTCTAATTGTTTCACCTATGTACATGGTCTTATCCTTTGAGTATTTTGCTCTTGATATCTCTCTTTCTTCACGGTCAAAGGCATCCCATTCTTCATCTGTATCCATGGCAGGGTCAGGTCGCTCAGCATCCATGCATTCCCTCTCAAACTCTTCACCATCTTCTTCAGTTTGGCCCGCAGCTACTTCTTTAGTTTGATCCCCAGCCTGGTGGGTTTCATGCCCAACTTCTGCTTCTGGATCAAGGTGAGTTTCCTCACCAACTTCTGCATTTGGATCCTGCTCAGTTTCCTGACCAACTTCTGCATTTATTTCTTCATAGAAGGCACTAAACCGAGGATCAACATCACCTGTCCTAACTTCTTCTACTCGATCAACTCCATCATTTTCTACTCTTGCTTCCTCAGCAGTTCTATCTTCTTCAACCTCTACATCGGACTCCTCATTGTCGTCAACAACAACATGTTCAGCAGGCTGAGACATAGGAAACATTGTAGGTTCAAAAACACCTTGCTGGATGTAGACATCTACTTCACCACCAATCAAAGCTTCACTGCACAATTGCCTAATCCCACTATCTCTGTCTTCGGGGATAGCTCTCACTGATTCCAAGTCTTCGTGTGCAAGTTTATACCACACTTTTTCCACCGGACCAGATACTCCATTCTCTTTAGGGAAATCTTCGAAAATCGACCATGTCATCAAATCTGGATCCATCAGCATATCTCTCATCTCGAAACCTCCATTGTATGCGAACGACTCATCCTTAAAGGAGACATCTACTCCGTACTTTATATTGAGTTTCAGACAATCGAATCCACTGCAAAGAGATAGATTAAGTTAAAAACCTACTCAAATTCCCCAATAACCCCATAAATCGAAACCCAGAAACTCACGAACCCTAAAAAAACTTAATCGATTACATACCTCATCACGACGCGACTAAGCAGACTCCGCGAACTCAAATTCTAGCCAAACCTCAAGCTTTCAAACGCCCAGACACATCAATTCTCTCGATTTCACAGTATGAAATATTAGGGTTTCGAAGAGATAGAGAGAAATTAGGGCAACGAATCCCAAATCGATTTGGGGGAGAATGTGAAAGGGCAACAGTGTCTTTGGTAAAGAGAATTTAATCACGTGCGGTTAAGATTTAACCCTAGTTAACCATTCCGTTAGCAAAGTTAACGACTGTTAACTCGCAGGTACCAAATTACCAAGTTTTAAAACACCATGGTTTTAAAAGACAACAAAAATAAAGAAGGAATTTTTATTCCAATTTTAAAAGTACAGGTATTAAACGGCCAAATAAAAAATAGATGGCGGTTTTTTTGGGTTTTTTCCCTTATATATTTTGACGTTCTCTTCGCTAACATATAACTGATTAGACTATTAAATTATTGTTAACTTATATCAGATTTTTTATTTTATTTTATTTTGTTATATTTTATTTTCTCTAATCAGTTACAAAATGTTTTTGGGTCAACTCCTCCTACATATCAAATATATTTTTTGGATAATTCTTATCCACGTACATCCGATTTTATTGTCAAACTTTGCACTCTAACCTAACTGCTTGAAAAACCCTTGTATTTTAACTTTATATTTAAACCACAAATTTTTCTTCATATTCAATATGTATTTGTTCTTGATTTTTTATACTTTTTTTTTTAATAAATATGCCTATTTCGGGTAAACTTTTACATGTACTATTATAATTGTTTTTTTACTCTAAATGGTTTATAATCCTTTAAAAATAATTAGATGGAAAACTTGGGTACACGATTGAAATAACGACGACGTTTTTGAAAGCAAACCCCAAAAAAAGTTTAGGTACAGCCAGAAAAATCGAATCGGAGCATCTTCCTCTTCACGTACAAAACAAAAACCCACTTTGCGAATCCTCTTCACAGAGAGAGCAATAAACCTCAGCGCAGAATCAAATCGGTACGAATCTTTATCTGATTTCGGTTCGGTTATCCTTAACCATTGATTGCTCTCTCCTTTCAATTATCTATCTTCGATCATCTGGGTTCGATTTCTTCGTTAGCTGCTTGATTCTGTGATCGATAATCTCATTTAGTGAATATTGATTTTAGGGTTTTCTCTTTACTGATTTAATCTTATATGGGGATCTTCTGAATCGGATAAAGTCATAACCTTTAGTTAGATTCTAGCTCATAAGTAAATGAATCGTCTTTATTGGTTAAAATGATCGAGCTTTAGGTCTAATACATGTCAGAGAATTGGAATTCGATTCTGAGCATAAAAATTGAAACTTTCTATATAGGGGTTGCTTAATCATTTGTGTTGCCATGTTTGCTCAATGTAGCACTAAGTCAGAGTCTTAATAGTGGATACTGAAATAGAATTGCATCGGTGTTTCGCTGGGATCTTCATTGAAGGATTGATATATGTTTATTCCCATAACCTTTGAGTAGATTTAGCTCAAAGATAAAAGAGTCGTCTTTAGTACTGAAATGATTGAGCTTTGAGGTCTAATACATGTCGAAGCGTTTGAATCCTTGAATTGATATCGATTCTGATAATAAAAATTGAAACTTTCTATATAGAGGTTGCTTAATCATTTGTGTTGCGTTGGTTGCTCAATGTAGCACTACTTATTAGTTGATACTGAAATAGAAGGATTAATAAATGTGTTCTCTTTGCTTGTTTTAGTATGAATTTCTGGATTAAGCGATGAAGCATCGAGTTTGGTGTTCATGAAGGTCAGAGTTAGGTATTAGCAGAGTTTTGGTGAAGAACAAGGTATTCATGTTATCCATTCCTGATACCAGAATGTGGAATCTAGCATCGAGTTATCTTACGGGAAACATTGGACCGAAAAACGAAATAAGAAGGCCAGTTCATGCTCATGCGGAGTGTTCAGATGACGATGCATCTTCTGTAGGGAGTAAAGACGAAGGTCTTGAGTGTCCTATTTGCTGGGAATCATTTAATATAGTTGAAAACGTTCCTTACGTGTTATGGTGTGGACACACGATGTGTAAAAACTGCATTTTAGGACTTCAGTGGGCTATTGTGAAATTACCTACTCACCCGGTTCAGCTTCCTCTGTTCATTTCATGCCCGTGGTGTAACCTATTGTCCTTCCGTCTTGTCTTCAGAGGAACCCTCAGATTTCCTCACAAGAACTACTTTGTCCTTTGGATGGTCGAGAGGATGAATGGCGAAAGACGCAACTCACCCGGTATAGCACAAACCGATGGGAACAATGACCATACAAGGGAAACTCCATCTCCATGTCTCCACAATCGCCATCATTGCAGTCAACCTGAACCATCACGTTCTGTTAATGATCATCGCATTCCCAGGGACAACATACAAACTTCACTGAGGAAGTCTCTGGTTTTCTTTGTCCAACTGACAGCAAAGTTTCCATTGGTTGTCATATTTCTGCTGATAATACTCTATGCAATACCGACCAGTGCAGCCATATTGGCGATGTACATTCTAGTCACTCTCTTGCTGGCTCTACCATCGTTTCTCATCCTCTACTTCGCCTATCCTTGTCTCGACTGGCTTGTTCGAGAGATTGTCACATGAACTTTCTAAGGAAGCTTTCGGAAACTTCCCATTCCTAATTTGACGACTTTTCTTCAACAACTTAGACCCAAGATCGGTCCGTCCTTCGTGTAAGTATAACTATTTTGTAATCACTATCTTTCATATTTTATATATGGATGTAGTTTTGGATTGCATTGTTTCTCTACGGAAGCTGGAGGCATATGTTGTAAGGGCTATTACAGAAACTTATTAGTATTGTACTATTTCAGGATTGGTGTGTGATTGTTTGAGGTTTTGTCTCAATAAGATTTGTGTATAAAGTTTATGCAATGTTATTAGGAATTGTGTGTATATGTAACTAAGTACAATTCCATATACATAGTGTCATAAAATGGTGTGGTTTTTGTTTAGATTTTTTTATTTGTCCCATTTCCGTAGAAGTTGAAACTTGAACTCTATTAAATCCTCTTCATTAAGTCTGAATCCGATAGTAATCTCTAAAGTTGTTTTGAATTAAAAAAGGGCTAATGCAAAACCCAAAATTACCACATCATTTATTACACAAACAAAATTATTTTTATTCTTGTTCATTCATCATCTTCATATGATCATATCCATATACTTTTTTTTTTTTTTTTTGCTAAATCATATCCATATACTTTTCTTCTTCTTCTCTGATTTCTCATTGTCATCGACCTTATCCTCTATCTTTCTATTCTCTTTTCTTTTTATGTTCTTTTCGGAAGCATCAACCATTGCTTCACTTTTTTTTTCCGTTAAGAATGTAAATATTTCATAAAAATGAATACATATTAGGTTTACAATCAATAATTTTCAACCTGACAATTGGTCCCATTGCAAAAAAGATAAAACATGGAAGCATAAAGATAACCACGGTCCATCCACTCAACCATAGCAAAAGATAATACGGGAGTTAGATGAAGCGATGACAATTTTGTTGTTCTTCCTTTATGAGTTGCAAAAGGAGAAGGACAAAAGCTAATTGTGACCGTGGAGCTGCAAAAGACACTAAGCTCTAGAAGCCTTTCACATGAGGTCCGAGACCGAGCTGCCAACGGCGAGGAACCTCACAAGCTAAACTATACCAACAGTGCGTGTTCCCTCTACCAAGTTCACTTGAAGTCGGCTAGCGCAGCGCAAGATTAAAGCAAATCACCACCACACCAAAAGCCAATAGCCTTACTAGCTCCACTAAACCACAATCTAAAAGCAAGCAAGAGGTGAGAAACGCAGAGCAAAGCTTCCTTCAACCTTTACACAACAACAAAAAGCAAACCACAACAAAATCAGGCCTTGAACCAAATCAAAAGTTTTTATATACATGTAATGTTCTCAATTGTTGACGAAAACTAGTTACCACTGATAACTAAATCGTTCACAAATCAAACACCACCGCAGCCACTCTAAAGAGCAAGAGAGTATCCGATAAAGCGTTAGAGAGAGGCCGAGACAACAAAGACTTAGAGAGTCGAAGAGCACCATTGCTTCATCTGAAAGAGCCAATGAGTACACACACACATCAAACAAACCAAACTTCCAAACTTTGTTCACAAAGAAACCAAGAACAAGAACAGAGAGTATTAATATAACATTCCTCTCAAGATTTTGAATCACTTCTTTCGTTACATCGAGACTTTTACATCGGACAAAACCTTCATGACTTTATCGTAAAAGTCGAGCTATTGAAGATTTTTGTTTGTTCATTTTTAGTTTTTTTTTGTGAAGAAGAAGAACAAGGCTTTGATCCTATTTGTTCGCCTTTACTTTTTTATCCAATGGTTTGTGTTAAAGACTTGAGTTAAACAAGAAAAGCTAATGGTCTTCTCATCAGCTTCGGTCTCTTTTTTAACCATGGGACTTGAGTTTACATCATCTTTTTGTTTTGATACCAAAATATATATATTAGACAAAGCCAACTTATGACAAAATATACTGCTACGTAAAAACACAACGATAAAATTATTGAATAATATCATTTATAAATGATGTAGAATAAAGTTACAATATCATTTAGTCTAGGAAAAAAAAAACTCATGGCAGAATAACTATATCTTCATCACAAAATTATTCAAAAAAAATACTTGATACGTAATAATAGAAATGGTTACACATTGGAATTGGGTGCAACACGACTTAGGTTGCCGGCCGGAAAGAAGGTACAAACCCAAAGCACGATGCAGACGACAAAAAACAAGAGAAGGAAGCATAATGAGATTAGTTCCACTGGACTCATATGAAACATATTGTTTTTTTCACCACACCAAAACTTGTGTCTTCTTTGTTTATTGATTTCACAAGAAGAGTATAAATACACGTCCACAACTTGGTACGTAATCAAAGCAAAATATAACCAAAAAAGTTAACAGAATATGGAAGAAAAAAAAGTTAACATAACAATACATGCGAATATACAATCCTTTAAGCTGAGAATCTAAAAACGAGAAAAAACAATTAGAAGTTAACATAACAATATGATGCAAATATACAAAATTTTAATGTGATAATCAAAAACAAATAAAAAAGGAAAAGTTAACATAACAAGAAAAGATGCAAATATAGAATTATGTATGCTTGGCACTTCGACTAGCTTTGTTTATTATTTTGTTTTTAACATATTTGGGTTGACAAGGCCCATCTATAGCCACGACTTAGTGGAGTCTAATTCCGGTGGAAAAGATGAAGTCAAATGGACTTAACCACTTGACTAAAACACATCCCCTACTAGCTAACAAAATCTTTGTGATCCATTTTGGTGATGTAATTCTAGTCACTAGAGTCGTTTCTCATCTTCTACTCTTTGCCTATCCTTGTCTCGACTGGCTTGTCCGAGAGATTGTCATATGAATTTTCAAAGGTTGCTTTCAAAAAACTCTCATTCCTCCACACCACTTTTTATCGACAACTTACGAATAAGATTGGTGGTCTGTCTAAGAGATTTTAAGTATAACTATTTCGTAATTACTGTCTTTCTTATATGTAGTTTTTAGATTGCATTGTTGCTCTATGGAAGTTAGACAAAGGAGATGTGCATGCATTTGCGTTTTAAGGGCTCTCGTAGGAACTTAATAGTATTGTACTATTCTAGCATTTGTCTCAATAAGAGTTGTGTGTATAAAGCTTATCTCAATGTTGTATGTAAATTTATTGGTTTTCCATACGTATATCATATATAGTAATTAAAAAAAGGGTATAAACATGGTTTTAATTAGAAACCAAACAATCTGAAGGAAGTTGTTAAATTTCATCTTCCATCACCCAATATAACTGTTGTGAGAAGTGAACATTGAATTGTTGGCAGAGGAAGAAGAGACTGATGATGTCATTCAAGTAGAAGTTATCGCAAATGAGGGAAATGTGGAGTTGAATCTCCAATTCTAGGAGTATCAAGAATGAATACACCAAACTTCAAGAATGAATACACCAAATGCATACACATCGGTTCTAGTGGAAGCTCCTGTTGATGTTAGCTCAAAGGCCATGTAACCTATGGTTCCAACTACTGAAGTGAAGGTAGCTCCATGATCATCAAACATAGCCATACGAAAATCTCCTAAGAAACCTTGTAAGTTTTCATCTAACATGACATTAGAAGCTTTGATATCTCGGTGTAAAACAACTTGACTGGCTCCTGTATGCAAGTAACATAGCGCAGAGGCGATATCTTTCAAAATTGCAAGTCTTTGAGACCATGAAAGAGGTGGTTTATCACTGTTGAACAAGTATTGATCAATGCTACCTCCTTCCATGTACTTAGAGACCAGCAGTAACTCGTCTTTTCTCCTGCAATACCAAATTCTTGTGCTGCAAACTTCCGATTTTCACAACTTCAGCCAACTGTTTCATGCCTTGTGTTGCATCATTTAAGAGTATCTTAACTGCTATATCTCCTACATAAGGCAAAGTTCCTTTGTATACTTCTCCAAAAACTCCTTTCCCAAGAAGACCATGTGTGTTAAACCCTCTTGTTGCTTTGTACAAAGACTTGTAGGAATAACGAAATGTACGGTATTCTTTTTCCCATGGCTCTTTAACTTCCGCATATATCTTTCTCCTGTAGAGATAATATCCTCCTACAACTGCCGCCATTACTATGAGTGCGAGTATAACCAGTAGAAAAATAAGCAAATACGATATTTTCCGTTCGGTGGGACGAGGAACCGTGGGAAGTTTAGAGATGTCAAGGCTCTGTAATGAAACTCTGTTTCTGCTGAAACTCCACCCTAAAATGTATTGGTAACTTACCAATGATCATGTTGCTGCAGAAAACCCAACAAATGTTTTTCGATCCGGGAAGATCGCTGTGAGATTGATGGTTCTTGACAAAAGAGGCCTACTTGGCTTCTGATTTCTTAGAGGAGCTAATGTAACATTGAGTAAAGTATTTTCATAATCAATCCATACCTGTATAGGATCTCCACTCAAGAGTCTCAAGCTTATGTTCTTCCCTTCTTTGTCGGAATAATAAGAAGCTGAAGCAGAATCAACGGATTGGAGGCTGTTTTTATAAGGAGTTGTAAATATTAAGGCTCTTATTGTAATTAGTATAAGTTTAAACCCTAGTCTAATTACTATATATGTTGTAAATCATTTCTCCTAATGAATCAATTCACGCTCATCTTACATGGTATCAGAGCAGTGATTCAAAAGACCTAAAATTTTTCAGCCGCCACCTTCTTTTCTCGATCTCCTTCTTCCTCTCAAACCCTCTTCTTCTTCTTCACAAGCTTGTTCTTCAAGCTTCATCGTTTGCAGCCATGTCTACCTCCTCAGAAGCCGTTGTTGTCCCCAATTCCACCTCTCTTCTCAATGTGAACATGTCCAATGTCACAAAACTCACGGCAAACAACTTTCTGATGTGGCGTCGTCAAGTCCATGCTTTATTGGATGGATATGACCTCGCTGGCTATCTTGATGGCTCCGTCGCTGAACCCGACGCTACAGTCACTGTCCAAGGTGTCACCTCCACAAATCCGGCGCACAAACAGTGGAAGAGACAGGACAAACTCATTTACTCCGGCCTCATTGGTGCGATCTCCGTTTCAGTGCAGCCACTCTTGTCCAAGGCAACCACCTCTGCTCAAATCTGGACCAAGCTTCTCGACACGTACGCAAATCCTAGTCGTGGCCATAAACAACAGCTCCGGGAACAGATCAAGCAATGGAAGAAAGGCTCTCGGTCCATTGACGAATATGTCCAGGGATTCACCACTCGATTTGATCAGCTTGTGTTGCTTGAGAGTGAAATTCCGCATGAAGATCAGATTGATTATATACTTGGTGGTCTCCCGGATGACTATAGGCGGGTCATAGATCAAATTGAGGGACGCGACACTCCGCCTACGATCACAGAGATTCACGAGAAGCTCATTAATTATGAGCTAAAGCTACAAGCAATGGTTCCCGACTCAACCGTACCGGTCACTGCCAATGTTGTCTCGTCCAAGGCTCATGACAACAATAATAGCCGCAACAACCGCTCGTCATCTCGCGGCAACCAGTGGCAGCAGCAGCAGCAGTACTCTCGTGGCAATAACAACGGCCGTGGATCACAAGGCAGAGGTTACCAAGGAAAGTGCCAAATCTGCGGTGTACACGGTCATAGTGCGCGAAGATGCTTTCAGCTTCAAGGATATGGTAGCGGCGGTGGTTCTCAAGCTAGCTACAATGGTTTCCCGTCCTCACCTATGGCACCATGGCAACCACGTGCAAATGTTGCGACCGCTCCACCATACAATCCTTGGATTCTTGACAGTGGTGCTACGCATCATCTTACATCGGATTTGGCCAATCTCTCTATGCATCAGCCTTATACCGGTGGCGAAGAGGTCACCATAGCGGATGGTTCTGGGCTTCCAATTTCACACACTGGTTCAGCTTTACTCCCTACACCATCTCGCTCTCTTGCTCTTAAGGATATTTTATATGTTCCTAATGTTAGCAAGAATCTTATTTCGGTTTATCGGATGTGTAATGCTAACAAAGTATCGGTGGAATTCTTTCCTGCACATTTTCAGGTGAAGGATCTCAGCACGGGGGCCCGATTACTCCAAGGCCGAACTAAGGATGAGCTATATGAGTGGCCGGTTAACCTCAATCCCATTACCATCCTCTCTGCTTCCCCATCACCAAAAACCGACCTCTCTTCGTGGCATTACCGTCTTGGGCATCCATCTTTACCAATTTTAAAAGCTGTTGTTTCTCAATTTCAATTACCTCTTTCAAATTCTATTCCCAAACAGCTTCCATGTTCGGACTGTTTCATCAATAAAAGTCATAAATTACCTTTTCACACAAACACCATTGTCTCATCTCAGCCCCTTGAGTACCTTTATACCGATGTTTGGACATCTCCGTGCGTTTCTATTGACAACTACAAATATTATCTTGCTCTTGTTGATCACTTTACAAGGTATACGTGGTTGTATCCGTTGAAGCAAAAATCACAAGTGAAAGAAGTCTTTGTGGCATTCAAGGCGTTGGTGGAGAATCGGTTTCAAAGCCGTATACGTACGCTATATTCAGACAATGGTGGTGAGTTCGTGGCTCTACGTTCGTTTTTAACGGCTCATGGCATTTCTCATCTCACGAGCCCGCCTCATACGCCGGAACATAATGGGCTCGCTGAAAGGAAACACCGTCACGTCGTTGAGACCGGTCTCGCGCTTCTTAGCCATGCTTCCTTACCAAGACGTTTTTGGACTTATGCATTTGCGGCTGCGGTGTATCTCATTAATCGAATGCCAACGGAGGTGTTAAACGGTTTTTCTCCTTACGCAAAGCTATTTCAACAATCACCAAATTATCTGAAGCTTCGGGTATTTGGCTGCCTATGTTATCCATGGATTCGACCATATAACACCAACAAGTTGGAGAGCCGATCAACCACATGTGTTTTTCTTGGATATTCGCTTACCCAAAGCGCTTACCTTTGTTTTGAAGTAGCCACTGGTCGAGTCTACACTTCCCGGCATGTTCAATTTGTGGAGAACAGCTTTCCGTTTGCCTCTAAACAACCCGCCACGTCGATTACCGAACCACAACAGCCTTCACCGGTCACCACCAATGTTGTCCCGTTATTGCCGCGCCCCACTCAAGTAGCTCATCCTGCTCCTCCTCCGTGCTCGGTCCTTCACTCGCCGCCAGCCACACCGTCTCACTCACTCCAGCCGCAGTCTTCACCGGAGCCTTTGTCACAGTCCTCGTCAACGAACAATGCTCACGAAGAAGAAAACATCTCCTCTTCCACGGGCCAAGTAAGTAATTCTGGCCCAACTCCAACAAGCCCAAACCAAACAAATACCAACCAAAGCCCACAAAGCCAAAGCCCAAATAAATCAAACTCAAACCCATTAACCCATTCCCACTCACCATCTTCTTCCTCGACATCAAACACGTCTACCTCCGACCACACAAAATCACCAACGCCTCCATCACCGGAAATCACACCACCGTTACCACCAAATCCTCAGCCTCCGCCACCTCCACAAAATACCCATCCAATGAGAACAAGAGCCAAAAATCAAATAACAAAACCAAACACAAAATTCAGCCTTACCACCTCTACTACACCTTCAAAACCGATGATACCGACAACAGTGGCACAGGCTCTAAAAGACCCAAATTGGAGACAAGCTATGTCTGAGGAAATCAATGCCCAAGTCAAAAATCACACTTGGGATTTGGTTCCACCGGTGACTTCTCAACATATTATTACTTGTAAGTGGATTTTTACACTAAAGTATAATGTTGATGGTTCAATTGCAAGGTACAAGGCGAGACTTGTTGCCCGAGGATTTAATCAACAATATGGCGTCGACTATTCAGAGACTTTCAGTCCGGTGATTAAGTCCACGACTATACGTCTTGTTCTCGAGGTGGCTGTTAAGCGAAATTGGAGCATTCATCAAGTTGACATCAACAATGCATTCCTTCAAGGCACACTAAAGGAGGAAGTCTATGTATCTCAGCCTCCGGGTTTTATTGATCGTGACCGTCCGAATTATGTCTGCCGCCTCAACAAGGCTTTGTACGGCCTCAAACAAGCGCCTCGGGCTTGGTATCAAGAACTTCGCAGTTTCCTACTTCAAGCTGGTTTTGCAAATTCTCTCGCTGATGCCTCTCTCTTCATATATCATCGGAACAATGCCTTCATATATGTCTTGGTATATGTTGACGATATTATAATCGCGGGAGATACTGCTCTTGTCAAAGCATTCAATGTTTCACTTGCAGCTCGGTTTTCTCTTAAAGATCTCGGCGCCCTAAGCTATTTTTTGGGAATCGAAGCAACCAGAACCCGACGAGGCTTACACTTGATGCAGCGCAAGTATATAACGGATCTACTCCAGAAACATAATATGTTTGACACAAAGCCGGTTTCCACACCGATGTCCCCAACTCCGAAGCTCTCTCTTCTCTCCGGCACGGCCCTAGATGATGCAACAGAGTATAGAACGGTTCTCGGTAGTCTCCAATATCTCGCTTTTACGCGACCAGATATTGCCTTTACAGTGAATCGCCTTTCACAGTTTATGCATCGTCCCACGAATGAACATTGGCAAGCGGCTAAGAGGATTTTACGTTATCTTGCGGGCACCAAGTCACATGGGATCTTCCTTCGATCGGATACTCCTCTTACCATACATGCTTTCTCGGATGCCGATTGGGGTTGTGATTCGGATGCTTATCTCTCCACGAATGCATATATTGTCTACTTTGGTGGCAGCCCTGTTTCGTGGTCCTCGAAGAAACAGCGAAGTGTGGCGCGCTCGTCTACGGAAGCGGAATATCGTGCAGTTGCTAACACGGCTGCGGAACTGCGCTGGATATGCAATCTCTTAACAGAAATGGGCATCCCTTTATCCACTGCACCAGTCATCTATTGTGACAACATCGGTGCTACTTATCTATGTGCAAATCCGGTCTTCCACTCTCGTATGAAACATGTCGCTCTTGACTATCATTTCGTTCGTGGCTATATCCAATCCGGTGCTCTACGTGTCTCCCATGTCTCAACAAAGGATCAGCTCGCCGATGCATTGACGAAACCACTTCCACGGTCACGCTTCACCGAACTAAATTGCAAGATTGGAGTGCAAGAACTCCCTCCATCTTGAGGGGGTGTATAAGGAGTTGTAAATATTAAGGCTCTTATTGTAATTAGTATAAGTTTAAACCCTAGTCTAATTACTATATATGTTGTAAATCATTTCTCCTAATGAATCAATTCACGCTCATCTTACAGTTTTCGCCTATACTGACATGGTTTTTATCGATGTCGTTAAACTCTGCGTTCTTGACGGTATCGAGCTCAATAGCTAAAAGATGAGAAGAAGGAGATCCATTAGTTGAAATGTTGAAGAGACCAAAGTACTGACTTGGATCTGCTTGTGTAAGATCCATTGAAGATGATAGAACAAAGGCAATCCCATGACCACCATCAACTCCTGGCTTAGGGACAAGAGCGCACACAAAATGAGTCGAGAAAGATAGAGATTGCGATGTCGCTGAACCGAAATCGAAAGGGCGGTTAAAGAAAGCATGACCCATTTGCTTAGTCGTGGCGTTTGTTAGCTGCAAAAGTCCATCTTGGAATTGGATTCTTGCAGTACCGTCAAGATGAAGATTAGCTTGGCCTTGGTTAAATCCATTGTAGACGAAACTTAAGTCTTGTTGACTCGAAAAGCAAGTAAGATTAACAAAGAAGATCAAGGAGAGAAGAAGAAGATGCAGACTTTGAGCCATTGGTATTGATTGATACACAAGAGACAAGTCTCATTTGGATTTTAGAGAATGACTTCAACCATGAACGTTGACTTAAGATTATTTATATATTTAACGTGATAGTCTCTAAAATAAATTTCCTTCAGAAAAATGTTGACAATATCAAGTCGAACTAATTTAAACCAAAAAAATCAAACAAATTAAAACGAAAGACAGTTTCCTCAAAAGCAAACTATTATTGATTTAAGTTATACATTAAACTTCCTGAAAAGACAGATTCTGAAGCTATACGAATTCTGTACTAAATCAAACAAATTAAATTCGGTATAAAATCGAATAGAAATATTCAAATTATGACCGTTACTCGGTCGGAATTTTTGTTGAATTTATTTTTGCATAAAAGAAATATATTACTCTAGTCTGAATTTTTGACCCGTTTTATAGATTGAACTATTTATATTCGTTTTTAAAAATTCAAATCATGGTATATGCGGAAAAAATCTACTTTTTTATTATATGGATGATATGATGATTTATTTGTTTCACAAAAATAAAATCATATAAAGATGAGAGGTTA